ACCCAAGACCCCCCACAGCTAACCAAGACTACACGTTACCTCAGCAATTTTGATAACTCTCGAAAAGTAGAACGTATGCCAGAATGATAACAATCACCTGACACAAAATATTCCTCAACAAAGAGACTACAAAGTAATAAAAAAAATAAAAACGCAAGTCACAGGACATGTAAACCATATCCAGAACTTGTACTATGACAGACCTACAACAAAGAGATCGTAGGACACTACAAAACAGTAAAGTCCCAAAATCTCTCCAACAGAAACAGTACAACATGATCACAACTAACTAGGGAACAACCCGACCAGAATAAACTACACGTAACACAACATGAGATATGGAATACCATAATATTCACTCGTAAATGTATTTACCAAGACCGAACACAAAATCAGCGGTCATGAAACGGCTGTCCTCGAAGCATAGCCGTAAAACGGAGCACGCTCAGTTTCTCGCATTGTATATGTAGTCTGCAGGGTGACTGTGAATACTACCCAGGAGCATGAACTGACAGAACAACAATTCAACATCACACATCTATCACAGCCCGACCCACACCACAGACAAACCATCGCAGGATCAGTAAACACCGTAACTGGACAAAGAAATTAAATAAGGTGAGTGGCGGCAAAGGAATCCCCCATCCAGTACCCTCTGACCTGTTGCACGAAAATAAGAAACAAAAAGCCCAAAACATTTAAATACTACGAGTATCCTCAACATTGGTATTGGGCGCCCACATACCACACAGATAGTATGAAAATGGTCAAATCTTGTACTCTATCAGAATCTCTCACAGAATTGCTGTCTCTATACTACCAGTGCTCATACTATAGAATCAGAAACCGACCAAGCTCGACACAGCAAAGCCCGAACCATACTATTGGCATAACAATGCTTTCAACATCAGGGCTCTGGAGCCCACAATATATAGAAAACCGCTCCGACTGCCACACCCCAAATGTCTCTAAAACCACAATTATGAGTTTCTTCTATTACAATCACCACCCTCCACTATTCCATGGACTCTTTGGCAGTTTCTGTTAGGTACTTTAAGCTCGTCGTCTCGGTACGATGTTCACTGCTAACATGTACCGCAATCACACGTCTTACCTAATTTTAAAAGCCAATATTCTTGTGGGGTCGGGGGATTATCTTGAATTACTCCTGAAGTATTAGTAAACGTGGTTATGGCAAGGAAGTTAATCTGGTATAGTTCATTTGAGTCTAGAACGACAGACCAATATCTTTTTGGCTTTTCAGTCATATATACAATACCGATAACACCATACAGTTCAGTATAATACTTAACTATTGAACGGAGGACAAGTAAAAATTTACGCCTCACAACGCATGATGAATATTTTAAAGAGTGTAAGTCTTTGAGATACTTTACAGACGGGATTGAGCCAGGCGCGACCCATTTCTATGAAATTTGAGAGGGGATAAGCATTCCAAAAAGACTATACTGAGTAATGTTAAGAACCATCCAGAATATACAAAGAGAAACAAGAACGTAATACACCATGCTGTTAAGGGAAAAAACATGAAGTGTTTTCTTGCAAAGCTGAACAAATATACATCACCTGCTGCATGATTACGTCAACTATATCGGTTTTTATTCTTTCATGTGCGGGTCTAACATGCTACAAACATTTGTGGAGAAATTAGCTTAAAACATGTTTTATTACGTCAATGAAATGGAAGCAGCTTTATGACAGGGACGAGAGAGCTGGGAACGGGACATTCTTCTAAGATTTTCCAGCATGTCAATTATCAGGAAATTCTACTTGTTTTCAAATAGATGTGGGTGGTTAAATTACTTTGTATAATAATAACAGTATGTGTAAAGGAAGCTGGAAATATACAATATGAAACCTTTTATTTGAAGTAAAGATGTGAACAATAGCTCAAGCAAATGGAAGGGCTGTAGGACAAATGAGTGTGTTCTCTATATTGGGCCTGTGTGAAGTTTGACTATTTGAAAAGCATCTCTAATACTGCTTAAGAGCATAGGTAATGTGTTCCTCGTTATTATTGATATGAAAGTGGTTTACATGTATTACGTATATTTAGCCAACTATAACAACTATATCTTAAAACATACTTTTAACTTGTGTGTGGTAACCTGAGGGGGGGAAGATGGACTCAGGGACAAAGGGCCATAAAGGGGATGTGTGTGTGCTGGCTGCAAGATGTGAAATAAGATAAGGAAACTTGTTGTTTAGAGAAGGTTCGTACCAGACACCAAAAGGTATCTGGTTTTCGTCAAACTGAAAGAGACTTTTTGTTTCCGGGTTTCTTCTGCTGTGTCACACTGATTGGGTGCGACAGGCCATGTGTTGGTCTCTCCCAATAAGATGACCTCTGGGGGAAAGCACGCACACACCTCCTCCTGTGTTTTAGTATGAAAGCCTGTGTTTTCCTTTGGTTCGCGCTCTTGTTTTTGACTGGCCGTTCCTGAGACCTGTCTCACACGTGGTAGAACCTGAGCCCGGAGTACTCGGCAGAGTGCTTCGTGATTCGGTGATGTATTTGTATTGTTACTTTGTATCATTAAAACAAGATTATTGTTTCACTTGCATTCTGGTGTTTCTTAATCCCTTCCTTTTTACGAATTTACCCAGCTTACCAAACGACACGCGGAGACGAGGTTGGTTTTAAACATCCTACAAATCTCCAACAATCCTTGTCACCTTTTTCATACTGATGAGTTTTCATCCCTGTATAGGCTCGTTCGGTCATTGCTGACTGGAAGCGGTCTGCCTTTGCCGGTAGCGTGGGGTTCCTGCTCGGTGCCGAAGCCAGCCGCGGTTGGAGGTGGGCTGCCACCAGCGGCTCCATGGGCGGCATGCGGAGCAGGCCGAGTTTCTCCATGCCGTCACAGTCCAAAGAGGAGGCACCCTGGATTGGGGCTTTGTTGCTGAAAGGGCGGTCTCTCCACAAGACCGACACCTCGTCCAGCATCTCTGGAAAGACTGGGAGAAGCTGCCTCTTCATCCTCGCTGCTTGGGGCAAGGTCTTCCCCTCATAGCGAGATCTGGAGGTCTCCTTGGCCACTTCAGGCCAGGGGATGTCCAGCCTGGACGCAGCGCGTTGGCACACGGCCTGCAAGTCCATACTGAGGCAGTGCGAAGCTGGTGTGCTTTCGCCCGGGGGAGCGGACATCGCCTCCGGCTTTGCAGCCTGAGCAGATGAAACAAAGATGTCATCTTCGTGCTCATCCGAGTCGGATAAGAGGAACTCAGAGGTATCCTCTTCATCTTCCTCCGTATAGTCCAGCTCCAGGACATCCTCCGCGGGTGGAACCACGGTGAGGTCCAGTTGGGAGCCCCAGCTTGACACAGCGCGGGGCTCCGCTCTCGCGGCCACCGTCGTTGTTGAGCCCCAGGCTGACACAGCGCGGGGCTCAATCTCCGCGGCGGCCGCCACCATGTCCCGATTGCCGGCCGGCAAATCAACGGACATGAAGGGGTCCTGTCCCGACAGGCTAGCTTGGTGCGCTAGCCGTCGGCGGAGGCTCTTGACGGTGAAGCGGGCACAATGCCCGGCTACTGATATTTTGAGATGTGCTCCGAAGCGAGAAGAGGTGTTTGAATGACGCTGCGTCGTAGCGCAAGCTACTTACAGGGTGGGTGGATTCCCTGACGTAGACATCAAGATCACCAGCCAATCAGGATTGGCGTAATGAGATTGATGCTTCTGTTTGAGGCGCATCCCATAGTGAGACATCGAACGGAGTGTTATGAATGAGAACATCAAATACAAATGCTTGACCAATTATAATATGGCATTGGTTGAAATGGCAAACAAATCATAATTTTCTGAAGAGGATGAAATCACGCAGTGTGTTCAGAAGTGTTGAGTGCCAGATTACAACAATAACAGCAATACACGTACGGGTTTTTTGTCTTTTCCCGCTTCGGAAGACAAGCTGACTTTTGCAGCAAGGTCTTTAAGTTCATCCCTCCAGGCCTCTGAAAATTGTGCTGTGGAAAAAGAGGAAAATTATTGAAGCTAAATTGTTATATTTGAAGGCAGAGCTTTTTGAAAAGTAATGAGAAAATGTAGGCGGCGTGTGTGAGTGAAATACCTGATTTGATTTTGTTACTACTGACTCCATTATGGTTGTGTGCGAGTGGAAAATGAAGTGATGGACCAGTGGCTTTCTTGAAGACGTGGCTTTTGAGAAGTGGATGAGGAAATAATGATGAGGTGACAAACCAATCATCTCTCACCATGCAAACAGGTCTACCATTGAGTCCTGTGGGAAAGAGAGAGGCACAATATTCACAGTTCACACACATAAGGTAAAGTGCTTCAAAAGTGTGGGACTATCAAAGGCAACCCCCTGCTGAGAGATTTGACTCCATAAGGACCTCAGCGATTAAACCCACTCTCTGGAAATAATGCTCTAAACTCTTTCATGTACCATACTGTATCACTATCTATATGATACGTTTTTATACAATGCCCATGCAGCATTTCATATACAGTGTAAGTAACCTATACATCAGGCAAGTCAGAATAAGGACAACCTTGTTAATGTAAAATTAAGTTGTTATTAGCTCCGATAAATGTGTTTTGGAATATTTATAAAATAGGTGATGTGAGAGTTACCACAGTTATCGGATTTCAAAGCAAAGGAAGATGCTAATTGGGGGAAGTGGAACAAATGGAAATATATGTATCACCTTTAACACCTTTGTATACGCTTTTTTAAAGGGGATGACATATCTGTCTCAGCAGCTGGTCTATCTGTTTGTTCAGTGGGTTTATCAGAGTATGGAGCCTCGATGTCTACATCTGCATCATTTTAAAACTCGGCTGGGTGACATGCTGTTTGATACTCATGGCACCTGTCACTGTAAATAGAGTTTGTAAATTGTACCCTGTACATTATGTTTTATGTCATCCTTATTGTTGTTCTGTTGTTTTTATGTTACATGTGTAACTAATGTCCTGCAGGTCACCCTTGAAAAAGAGATCTTTTGATCTCAAGGGGCTTTCACCTGGTTAAATAAAGGCTACAAACAAACATCTACATTCAAAGTTCCAGGTAAATCAGTTCTAATTACTTTGTTACTCTCTTATATTAATTCCTTTTTTAGGTTTTTTTTTGTAAAACATTTGAAAATTCATTGAATAGACTGGCTTGAAATTCAGTTCGGAAATCCATAGTAACCAGATGATTAATCCTACTGACTTTGTTCCTTCATGCCACCAGCAGGTCGACATTTCTGGTTGTTAGTGTAATATTTGTGAACTTTCATTATGCATCACCTCAGGCAACCCTGTCTCCTAAAAATTACGTTCCCACAGAACTAAACTGCATTCTCAATTACGTTTAGCTCGAAACGTTTTCTCCCACGTTACGTTCGTTATGAACGTATCTCAAATACGTTTATTTTCTACATATCTTCTAGAAACATATTTTCTCCCACGTTACGTTTCTTATGAACGTATCTTAAATACGTTTATTTTCTAAATATCTTTACCATTTATTGTCTTGCTTATAATAATGATAATAGTCATTTATAAATATCATTTTAGAGCACACATTTGGCGAGGCTGTAATTTCGCCGGCTGTTACTCTCCTGAGCAAGGCAGAAAATAATAGTTTTAACATGCCAAAAAGCTGCTGTGTCGTTTATTGCAATTCAAACATTAAAACAAATCCAGAGTTACGTGTTTCTGTACTTCCTCTAAGAAGAAAGGACAGTAACAGAAGATCTCTGTGACGCCAGATGTGGTGTTGTTAATGCGATATGATATCCGA